TGAATTTGTATCCCTGGAGTGGATGTTATTGTAGAACATCCAACTGAGCTAACTAATTCTTTAGCAATAAACTGTGTCATTACGTTGTAAAGCCTCGTGTCCACTTGCAAGTAACTTGCGAAAGTTTTTTCACCAAGTACTTGCCGGCGTGTCTACACTGTAGTCTAATTGTTTTGAAATTTATTGCGGAAAATTACTGTACCAAGTTCGTTTGCTTCAGTAACGTGTACACACACTTAGAAAAATGTCGTCTCAGCAAGTGGCTGCTGAGGTTGTGACATTTATTCAGTTAAAAAAAATAAAAGAAAAGGAAAATGACAAAAAGCGTAGAAAAATTTGGGTCAGAAAATGGATTCAGCGGAGATCTACTTAAGGTATACATAAGAAGCTGCTCTCTGAATTGAGAAGGGAAGATCCACAGCAGTTAAAAAAATTTCTACGAATGTCTGCGGAATATTTTGATTTTTTGCTGAATTTGAGGAAAGACAAAATATGTAAAAAAGATACTAAAACGAGAAGACATTCCACCAGAAGAGCGTCTGTCCTTAACACATCGCTTTTTGCAGCTAATATAAATTTTAAAGAATCAAAAAATTCCCATGTGCTTTTATACAATTCATTTGTCCCCTGTTCACCCTTTTTCTTTTGAATTTTTCTCCACTCCTGATTCAGTTGTGTTCTTAAGTTATGTAGCTTGCGCTGAATTTCATGTTCAGATGTATTGAATAGTTCTGCTAATTTTTGAAATCCAGCTTGTTTTTTACTCTCTTTTTAAAATCTTTGCAATGTACATTCCATATTTCTGGGTACAGTTCAAAATTTTTAATTAACAGAAGAGTTTCTTCCCTATTCCAAACATTTAAAATAGTTTCACAAAATTTCACTACTTGCTGCAAATATTTCGAAACAATCCCGAAATAAAAAAGTGCAAACTAATTTGCTTAGATTAGCCGTGTACACCACACAACCTATTGTATCATCCCCGTAATTATTCATTGCCACGAAAATACTGAAAAATTTAAATTTTATACTTTTTCTCAAATTTTTCCATTTTAGAGTAATCATATATGATATAAAAATTATAGAGAATGATATCGCAAACAACTTTTATTTGAATAATTTTCTTAAAAATTAGATGTTTGCAATTTTTGTTAAATTTCTCGAATACAGACAATTTTAGAAAAATTATATACGAGGTGTGTAAATTAAGTAATGAGACTGATATTTTTTAAATTTTTTATACAAAAAGAATTACAATTCAATATTGTCACCTTCAAAATAACTTCCTTCTGAGGCCACACAGCGCTGGAGACGTTTCTTCCACTCCTCATAGCAGTGCTGGAACTCCGATACTGAAATAACCTTCAGCTGGTCGGTTACAGCCGTTTGAATTTTTTTGACTGTCCCAAAATGATTTCCCTTGAGGTGACTTTTTAACTTTGGGAAGAGAAAAAAGTCACAAGGACTCAAGTCAGGCGAATAAGGAGGCTGAGGAGCCACAGGAATGTTTTTATTGGCCAAAAACTCGTTTATTGAAATTGCTGCGTGACAAGGAGCATTATCGTGATGCAACACCCACTTGTTCTTGATGTTTGGTCTCACACGAATGACCCTTTTTCGAAGTCTTTCAAGAACCTCTCGGTAAAAGTGTTGATTGACCGTTTGTCCTTGGGGTACAAACTCTTTGAAGATGAAGGCCTTCCGCTTCGTGGTTCATCTTCAATCGACTCTCTTCCTTCTGAAAATGCCTTAAACCACCGAAAAACCTGTGCCCTTGACAAAACACTATCTCCTGAAGTTTCAGAACAGTTTCCGTTGGACTGTGCCCAAGTCTGAAGCAAAACCTGATAGCACACCGTTGCTCGAAATTGATGTCATTCATTTTTAGAACACAATAGAAAAACTGTTTCACAAAAACAATCGCTACGCACAAGCAAATGACTCGAGCGAGGTCAAACTCGTACTGAAGGTGGATCGTGCCGCCCCACTAAGCCCCGCGCTTCCAGTGTTGCCAGATCAAACGCAACGTTGCCAGTCTCATTACTTAATTTACAGACCTCGTATATGACAAAAATTATAGAGAGTAACATTACAAGTAACTTCTATTTAAAGAATTTTCTTCTCCAATATTAAATAACAGATATATTCCATATAGTAGAAAAACGACCTTCTTCTGTAGTACCCCACCAGATGTGTTCAAAATTTAATCAGTTTACCGCTGGATGAATTAAAGCTTAAATTTTATTTTTTTCCCTTATACCGTATTTTCAAAATTCAAAATTTGTACTTTTTCTCAAATATGAGTCCCCTAAATGCAAAACTCATTATTTGACGAAATTTTCAAAAGTATTTTTTTGGCGCCATTCAATTCCTTATTTCAAATTCTACCATTCTTCTCCTAAAATAAGAAGCAAAACTCCCTATTTCTGCATTGAGAACGCTTTAGAAAACGAAGACTAGATGCAACACTCTGTATTTGCCTTCACTTGTCAAATGCAAAACTACGCAATTGTTACCTGCTGCCAATGGCGTTGCGCCTAAAAGTCACGTGATTAAGTAAGTGCACGGGCACGTAGACATTTTAATTATTCATTTGTTGTTTTGATTCTGAAGAGATCAGAAGTAATTTCGCTTGTTTTTGCCAGTTTACACCTAATAAAAATGTTTTAATTTATATTTTTGTATCTTTGATTAAAAAAAATTATAAGAAAATAAATGTTCTAAAATAAGACACTTATCGGTATTTGCAATTGTGAGTTGCAAAACTGGGGATTCAAAACTCGGTATTTTAATTTTAAAAGTATTTTTTTAAATTTTTGTAGAATTTTGGATTAAAGAGCATAGTAATTTAAAAAAAAAATCCTTAGAGTCAACTAGAAACAAAATTTAAAAAGAATACATATGTATTTTAATTACTGACAGTCTTTGCTCTTTCTGAAAAATTTTGTAACCAGCAAATACCGAGTTTTGCTAGGGGACTCATATGTCGAATACGGTCGATTTTAGAGAAATTATCTATAATACGAAAATTATAGAAAATGACATTACAAACCACTTTTATTTGAACAAATTTCTTAAAACTTTGTTTTTTCTTTTTGTCAATTGTCTCGAATACGCACCACTTTATAGAGATAATAATACAAGTAACTTTTATCTGTAGAATTTTCTTCTCTAAACCTAAATAACACATACATTCCATAAAGTACAAAAACGACTCCCTGTAAAGTACCCCCCAGATGTTCCGACTATGCCAATATTCAATCAGTTCACCGCAGGATGAATTAAAGCTTAAATTTAAAATTTGGTGTATTTCTCTGTATTCGATCATAAATAACAGCGAATACAAAACAAATCAGTTACAGATTAATTCTGTCAGACGGTCCATGACTATGTTGATAAACATTAGCGGCATATAAAATATTTTATTTTTACAGTAAGATAAAGTGTTCGTTCACTTCCGTAAATCACTATGGTAATGCATGGCTTTATTGACGGTTGGCCATACAATAAATTTAACGCAACTTAAGAATGTGATCTGTCTGAATAAATTAAACTTTAAATTACTAACAGCCTAAACATCTGTCAAAGTTTATCAAGCTAGAAAATTTAAATAAACCTTTTTGCAACCAGTCAGTAAAGTATCTATACTACGTAACCGCTACAGTTTAAGCTTGGTTAACCCGTGATTGTTTTGAATCAGTCAATATTAGTTTTTTTTATTGTCAATTTTCTTTCAAATGCCTAATTAAACGATTAAATTAAGGTTTTCTTAAAAACTAAAGATCTTTAACTACGCCTGTGTGATAAGAACTTCTTATCTCACTTATTTTGCGTGAGATAAAATAGTTTATTAACGTACGCGTTTTTTTCGTTTCACTACTTTTCAATCAGTCTAATAAAAAAGTCAAAATGTCAAAATCTATTTAAATTTAACAACAAATTACTGTCACAACTAAAGTAACAAGTAATAATATTTAAAGCTTGTTCTTTAATATTAGATGGCAAACTTTCCGAATCACTCATTTTATTACTAGAAAATGCAAAAATACGTTAAAAATGAATTATTTTTGACTTATTGTTTGGAAAACAAAACGTTTTTATTCAATTGTTAGAACCGCCCCTATCATTTCGATGTGTCGCCAATCGACATGTAGGCAGTGGTCAGTGGTGGAGAACAAGTACCCTAAATTAAGTCTTAGACAAAAATTATAATTACCGTTTATTTTTACATTTAGAAGCGTGGATAAAAATTTGTACAATATACGTGTGATAACGTTTTATCAACGTACTGCAGATTTCGCATGCGTACGTTAATAAAGCTTTTATTGTAAATAACTATTATTGAACGTTTCTACATAAATTGGATTAAATATTCAGATTCGTTGTTATAGTCCATTGTAAGAAGTAGCCCTTGACCGACAAAGATAGAGTCATATCCGTGATAACTTCACGCGGCTCTGAATTAAATCCACATTGACACTTAAAAAGAAGAAACATTTAAAGATCCGAAATAAGTGAATTATTCCATAGCCTACTTTAGAAATATTTTTTGTTGATCGCTCCTTGTTTCATATATGTACAACTGAGTTGTTGAAATAAATAAGTAAATAAATATTATTGTTAATATTATTTTGTTACATTTTTAAGGAACATAAAATGTTCAAGGATAGATACACATACTTTTACAAGGGCAAAACCTTCAGTATTTAGGAATTTTGTAATCTCAAAGAAGAAAATGTTTAAATAGTTTATAAAAGACAAATAATTAATTATTGACTTTTACTAATTTTCTCGTATATTTTTGTAAATTTTATTAGCTTGTTTTAAAAATTTGACTTTTTTTGTTAGAGTAGGTACTTACGTAATTGTCAGATAGTTTAGGGATATAGCTTCTCTAAAACCAAACTCAAATAACTGTATTAAATTCAAATTGTTTCTGTATCTAACCATTTTGGTTAATTCATTTGTTGGAAGAAAATAGATTAAAATAAAACTCAGGTTACGGTGACAAATGTATTTTTTTAACATAACCTAAAAAAGCTTTATACAAAAATGGATCATTCAATGCCCGATGGTGTTTGCTTTTTGAGATGTTAAAGGAACATTGAATGCATCATGACCCGTCTGAGATGGAAAGAGATGGTATTATTTGTTTTTTTCAGTTCTGGAGCCTAGTAAGGCGATCCGTATGACCCGGATGGAATGGAGCTTGGTCCGCTTGGGTAACCGCCGAATGAAGGACCTTGAGATATTTGGTTGTATTGAGCTACTTGGATGGCTTGTTTGATTCCTTCAAGATCGATTCCGACGACGCGGTATTGGTAGCTGGGTACTCCGTATTGTGGAGATGGAGCGCCATATTGGGATGAGGGAGCGAAACCGCCGCCGCCACCACCGCCGCCGCTGGAAGCGCCCTGTTGCTCTTCTTTGAGCAAGATTTGACGGACTTGTTCAAGAAGTTGAGGGTCTACGGAGGCACCTTCGTTAGTTTGACCACCAGACGATACAGATGTGTATCCACCACCTCCTCCGGACAGTCCACCCCCCAAGGAATGGCCGCCGCCCCCGAAGGAGATGCCGCCACCCCCGCTGGGCCGGTTGTAATTGTAGCCGGACGGAGGTTCGGCTACAACGACAGCGGCCAGTGCAAAGGCGAATACCTGAAACAAACACAAAACAATGTTAATTATAAAAAATAAATAAAATTTTAATAATACTAAAAATAGAAAAATATATGCCCTTTTCTAAATAGCTTTTACGTATTTACTTTTAAATTGAGAAATATTGAAAATAAAGCAGAGCAATACTGTGAGAAATTACTAGATTCAAAAGTCCCGCCCTTTCATTCGTGCTTAAAATATGAATTTCGGAGCTAAGGTGGAATGTGACGTATTTCATTAGTAACAGACTTTATTTAGAAATGTTGCTGTATCAATAAAACGGGCAACAAAATACAATAAAAGTAAACAGAGTCAACACAATTGTAAAGTGTACCCAGTACTTAAAACTCAAGTCAAAATTAACTCTTCCTTTAATATGGAAATAGAACTACACCAACGAATCAAAAAACATGTTTCTGTGGTCAATGACAATGGTAGTTTGTACAACAACAGTGGATATGAACAATCCATTCGAGTTGTACAGTATATTTTTTCTACGACCCACTAACGAAAATCTACAAATTTAAAAAATTATTTCAGGTTATTATAAAAAAAAATAAACAAAAAAAATTAGTTCCTCGTCCAGATTGGAACCCAGGCTATTCGCTTGGAATGCAGATGCTTTGTCCAGAGCTCTACGACCACTTTTTTGGTTTTAGTTTTAATGCTCATAGTTAAACTAGTTTCATAAAAATTTAATTTTTTTTTTATAAAATTTGGCCCAAATAAAAATAAAAATGCTATTATTTGTCGATTCTAAACAAAAATAACTCATTATAATGTATATTTAATCTCAATAACTAAAAAGTATAGTGACAATTATTTTGACAAAATTGTCACTTATTTAAAATTTTAAATAAAAATAGTAGTTGAGTGTCCAAAATATAAACTGTGATTGGTGAATTTCATTTTTCTGCAGTGTTCTCACTACCTAGAATGAATATAAAATATATTCGTTCAGATGAACGCAATGACATACTTTTTCGTTTTGTAGTCTGTGCGTATATAAGCTAATATCCATGTGGGTGTAGAAAAAAGTATTAATTAGACCTGTGCGAAGAAAAGCACAGATATCCCCTTATCATTGCCAATATCATGCAATAGAAAAATTTTGATCGAAAGAAAAATTATGACCTAGACATTGGTAAACCAAATTCCACACTACAAGATGTCCTTAAAACTTGAGAAACAATAATTAGTCAAGAGCACGGGTAACTACGTAAGGCAGGCAAATCTTTTTTTAAATAATTTTAAAAAAGAAACTTTTATTGAATCTATCATTATTACATTAAATACCGATATTATATTATATCATATGAATACATTTCTGTTGATTCCGACATGGATATCCTTTTTAATTTTTTTTACAACTCAATTTGAATTTAATTTAATTTTTGTTGCAAAAAATACCACTATCAAATGTGAACAAATTGCTTAACAATTGTTTTTAAATCTAGTAGTTTACATTACCATGTTAACATTTTAATTAAAGTGCCAACTGTAATAATACCTAGACAAGAAAATAGTAACTAGGCATTCAAATGTAAAGTATTTTGTGACCAGGCCATTTATTTGGGTAAACATCACTGTGTTCGTCTCGGTAAGTAGAATTCCCAAAAATAACAGATATACAAGACATACCCAAAACTGATACGCCAGAAGTTTACATTAGAGATGCACCAAGAACTTGACGTGCATGCTTCCCTGTAAAGTTACCAAAACTCGACATATCAAGTCAGGGCTTCTGATGAATATTATAAGAACAATGAAAATCAACATAAACAACTAACTATTCAATAAAACCAGCAAATTCAAACATAATGGAAGAGTCGATCGAATACAAAAAACAAGAATGGAAGATATAGTTGAGTACTCGAGAGGAAGTGTAAAAAATTAATTTTAAAATAATTGCAAGTTTAAAGTAGCTGAAATAAATTATCGAAAGAATCAACGAAAATGGTTAGAATAAGAAATAAAAAAATTGAATGTTAACGATAAATATTTGGAGTGGAACTACTAATTGAAGTAATGCATTTCGATTAAGTATAAATCAAGTAGTTAAAGACTTTAAAAAATAAACATTTCCAAGAATAGCGGTAGTATTGACTTTCGTTGTTATGTCAACAGTGCATAGACATGTCCGTTCCGTGTGCTTAAGAAGGCAGACAGGTAGTTAGGATGAGAAATGCGTGTCTATAAAGAAGTAACATCTTTTCACTTTCTAATGTTACAACACTTTCCCATAGAGGACAAAAGGAAGTCATTTGAATTCTGCAAGAATGCTCGCGGGTTATAACACTCATTCTTACCTACCATTCGGTAGCTCGAATACTGGTTTTAGTGTTTGTTTTTTATTTTACATTGTTTGCTAATTTCGAAATCCTACACGGCTTCTGGACGGTTTATGGTTCGTGGGTATCGCTTCCGGTTTTAAGAATTAAAAGATTGGTCAAGATTCATTTTGTTTACTTGCAACCTACTTTTTTTGTTGGGGTCAAAACTATGCTTCCGTATTAGTGTTTTTTTACTGAAGAATTATTTATACGTTTGACAACGGTTTTATTGCATATTAAAGAACAAATTATGTAAATTTTTAAAGTATTTTTTATGCTCGAAAAAATAGAAGATGCTTTTTTGGATATTAAAGCAGAAACAATAGAACATGTAAAAGTAGAATTTTTACTAAAATAGGTTTGATTTTGCATATATAACTAATAAATTAATGCTTTTTGGAATAGTCTGAGATGAAATATAATTTTGCTATATCTATTAAAAAAAAATCAATTAAAATATATTTGAAATAACAAAACAGACATGTTTTATTTGTGGACAAAAAGAGATTTGGTCTTTGTTCGAAAAAACTGATTTTGTTATTTATGTTTATTTAATTATTTTTTTTGCTTATATGGCAGAGTAATTATAACTATGAATGTATTAAATCTAAGAAAGAATAATTATTAATGTACATTCAGAAAGTCATAAAGTTGATCAAGATTTTTGCATATTAAAGAAAAAGATAATGAACAAAATATGGAATGTGTGGCTTGTGTTTTGCGTGTTGTGGTTATTAATTTGTTAAATCTAGACAATATTTAATAAGTTTAAGAAAAATGTTAAAAAGTTAATTTATGCATATTTGAGATTAAAACATTAAATAAGCAAAATTATTTAAAAAAAATGTGCTTTATAGATTTCAGTTCCATATAAAAATGAATTGATTGTAGTAGCAAAATTTTTAGTTTTATTAAAATTATTGAAACTTTAGATGACTATTTAGATAGAAAAGGTTAACTTTTTTGACAAATATTTTTTTCATCGTCTTTTTTTAGTTAATTTCTTGAGTTTGATGATTTAAGAAAAATATAATAAAATAAGATACTTTATTTTTTTTAACTCGAAATCTCTGTAGATACGCATTTTTGTTAACTAATAGGAAATTTGAATAAAACTTTTTTGTTGTCATATAAAAGTAACTATACTCAAAATTTTGTAAATATTTGAATATACCTGATTTTATTTCATTTCTAAAAAATATGTTATAAACAGCAATCTTACGATTCTGAAAATTTTGTTTCATAAAATTTAGTTTATAAACTTATTTGTATTTTATAAGAAAACATTTTAGGTCAATTTTATTTAGAACTATAAAACCATTTAGGTATTTGATAATATAACAAAATCAAACTTGAAATAGAAATTAATTGTCCGGAAAAATAAAAAGTTGGCAAGATGGGTGCCGCGCTTTTTTTAAAATAAAAATTGGATTATTGGATGAAACAAAACTAGGAATTAATATAAATAACAGTTTAGGAATGAATTCCTTGGGTGGAGGAACACTGTTTGCTTTGATATAAAGAAAACGTGAGTTGAGGCTGAAATATACATTAAAAAAGTATGACCAGCTAAATGTCTGGATGATGATTAACAAACTAGAATTTGTAATTAACTTTACTTTGTATAACCAAATACATATAATAAATCTCTTTTTAAAATTAAATGAAACTCCCACCCAAATTCACAGACGAATATTCTAACTATTAAATAATAACCAATAAATGTCAACTGAATTGTTTACAATGAAATTAACGAAGCATAAATTATCAAATCAACTTGCACAAAGTCAAGTTTATTATATTTTAACCAGTCATTAATGTCATTGAAACAAGTATAAACCAAACCAAATACGTTTTCGGTTTACCGCCTTAACACAAATGGTTTTAGCTAATTTTTGTGGTTGTATCTTTGCAAGAGCAGCAAACCCGAATTTTAATACAAAAGTATTAATTAATATTAATACTTTTGTACTGTTTTATTACAATTACCGAAAGATTTAAGAAGAGTATTGTAATTGTGTTATTTTTAGGTAAAAGTTGCACTAAGAATTTTAATTGATTAATCAATAGATTGAGGGGTTGTGTTTTGGAACTCTATCAAAAATATAACCACAAAAATCACTTTTTAGCACTTCACAAAATAAAATCCATTTGTGTTAACTGGCGGTATCCATAATCACTCGCGTAATCCGATTTTTTTTATTTTTTCTTTCACTTACCACACTGTAAGAGTTCATGATGCTTGTTGACTGGGTCGAGTGGTGACTGTACCGATTCTCGGATGTTTTGCAGTTTTTATATCGCCCATAGAGGGGGTGGGAACTGTGTCTTCAGAAGATGCCATCGAAGACTTTCACACTTGTACATCCTCCAAAGAATCGCTATACAGGTGGTTTCTGCCAAAAATTTTTAGATGACGAGGTCACTAGGTTGTGATTGAAGAACATTTTTTTTCAGTCGGGATTTTTGTTAGTTGCGTACAATGTGAGCAAAGTTATAGATGGGTAGATAAATATTATAGTAATGTATGTCGATTCAGAATTACTATCATTACGGATTTATAATACATCGTTCCAGTAATACTTATGTTTTTCTTTGAACAATAATTATATCTAATTTGAAAAGTTATGTGTTTAATCGAATTTACTTTATTTAAATCATCAATTGAATCGAAATTAAAAAATTCGTATTATCCACTAAACAAATTAGTTTCAATTATAATATTTGTGTCAATTTTTTTTTGTGTAATTTAATTAAAAAAATAATTAGGTACCATAATAGAGAGGCCAGGCTTTAAAATCATATAAGTAATAGCTTTATTATAGACCGTTAAAAGTTAGAAAGTAAGTCAATGTAAAGTAAGAAGAATAGGGCGAAAAGTCCATATTATCAATTCACTTTTTGTTTATCATTAAGGTGACTGTGTAAGTTTTCACCCCTGATACTGTTTCTTTCAAAACAAGGTAGGTAATACTTTTACGACCTTTTTTAAATGATAAAATCTCAATTATGTTTATGAATCAACTGTAGTTAATTAAAGAGAAAGCATATCCTTTAATGTTGATGCCAGTATTATTCAAAGGAAGGTACTCAAAGTTAAAATTTCACACATATAAAATAGTTCACACACTTTATGTAAGTAGTATTGCATCTATTAGAATACATTAGTTTTGATATGTTGACCCACTTTTATATTTTTACATGTAGATTTTTGTAATTTGTATAATTAACTGGATCTTCTACATATTAACAAAAAAAGTTTTTTTTTCTACACTTACATGTAATATCTAATTTTTGAACGGATATCATTTCATATCCATTCTAGTAAGGATATGAAATCCACCAATCAAAGTTAGTAGAGCCGGCTGACAATTCTTTTTTAAAATTTCTAATATGTCGACGTATATTTTTAATTTTTAAGGTTACTTTTACTTTAAAATGAGTGATTCTATTAAAATAATAGTTAAATGTTGGTAATCCACAAGTTAATTAATTATCTATATTTAGATAGAAATAAACTGCAAATTTTAATTAAATCATCTCAAAATAATTTTCTTTCTACGATTACTAACTAACCAAAGTAGGGTTTGGCGACATTTAAATATAAATAGAAAGTTGACGTTCTCCGCGAATTGTCATAATTTAGACATTATTGGCGCACCCGTGCGCCAAAGTAACTTTGGCACATGCTTGTCTATTTTCATTTGAATTAAATACAAGATTTTAATTGACTTCCTAATATTTTAAATCATCCAACAGTATTTTTTGTAAATAATTAGATCATAAATAATTACCGACATATAAGTACTAAAACATTTTTTTCTCTTCAAAGAGTAGACTTATGTCAAATATTATAACGAAAGAAGGTAACCCATTTCTAATAGAATAAAATAATTATAATAATAATAATAATAATAAGAAGAAGAAGAAGAAGAAGAAGAAGAAGAAGAAGAAGAAGAAGAAGAAGAAGAAGAAGAAGAAGAAGAAGAAGAAGAAGAAGAAGAAGAAGAAGAAGAAGAAGAAGAAGAAGAAGAAGAAGAAGAAGAAGAAGAAGAAGAAGAAGAAGAAGAAGAAGAAGAAGAAGAAGAAGAAGAAGAAGAAGAAGAAGAAGAAGAAGAAGAAGAAGAAGAAGAAGAAGAAGAAGAAGAAGAAGAAGAAGAAGAAGAAGAAGAAGAAGAAGAAGAAGAAGAAGAAGAAGAAGAAGAAGAAGAAGAAGAAGAAGAAGAAGAAGAAGAAGAAGAAGAAGAAGAAGAAGAAGAAGAAGAAGAAGAAGAAGAAGAAGAGAAGAAGAAGAAGAAGAAGAAGAAGAAGAAGAAGAAGAAGAAGAAGAAGAAGAAGAAGAAGAAGAAGAAGAAGAAGAAGAAGAAGAAGAAGAAGAAGAAGAAGAAGAAGAAGAAGAAGAAGAAGAAGAAGAAGAAGAAGAAGAAGAAGAAGACTTAGTTGTTAAGCATGCGCTTCTTATGAGCGTTTCCCATCTTTATTTTCCTTATCTCTGCTTAAAATCCTTTTAAAATCATAAAAATGTATTGTTTTATGTTTCCTACCCTGAGTTCCAATTACACATCTGCAAATGTCATTTTGTTCTTTGCGATTAATAGTTTTGGTAGGGGAGCCAGTAACACTTTTAGATTTATTCTTACCTTGTAGAATACGGAAATACTTTGCTGAAGTCCCTGCAATGATGGAGCCCTCGACGACGATGTCTTAATAAAGCCTGTATAGAAAATGCTGTCATAAGAGCGCAAGATTGAAACTTTGAAATATTAATTACATCAAAAGTTAATAGAAAAAGTTTGCTGCCACTTTCTTGAAATTTGGGTCACAGTACTTGCTTCCTGCCAGCGCATTCTACTGATAGATCAATTGCAGCAAACGATTTTCATTAATCACATAATTCGTTACCCTAACTCGCAAATGTCGGAAGTCCACTTTTTGTCAAAATTGAGATATTGTCGCCATCTCGTCAACACCCGACTAATCTGCGTAATACTTTTAGAAAACGGCGACGTATGTAAACTCTTTTTATTTTTTTTCACTATATTTTGTAAAATTAGTAAAAATAACTATATGTTATTCTATCACAAAAAAAATATGAGCCATACTAAATACAACATATTTATTATAACAATTTGATTGTCCAAACTAGAAGGTTTTCCACCGCTACCAAGATGGCAGCAAACTTTTTCTATTACCTTTTAATGTAAATATCTGAAATATATGCACTTTTATTTTAGCATTTTTTACGTCTTCTTTTTGAAGACGTCGTCATCGTAAAGTATCTTCATCTTCTACCATGGTAAGAACGAGCAAATGTTTACAAAAAAAAGTGTTACTAGCTCCCCTACTATATGGAGATCTGAAAGTTATTTAAAGTAACGATGACAGGGGGTAATCCTCGTAGCCGACCCCCAAGCCAACAATTGCAATTAGGGCGAGAATAAGACGGAGATAAAAAATAAATTGTTTGGATTTAAAAGTCCCGTACTTTTTTTTTATTTAAAATAAATATTTTTACAAATATAGTTAAGTCCATCTTTGGGCATACTATATTGTTGTTTATGTAAAATAGCAGAGCTGGGTAATTCCTACTTAAAAAGTAGTTAATAATTACAATTACTTTTTTTCATGTAAGTTATAATTGTATTTAAGTACTTTTTTTCTTAAAGTAATTTGGAATTGTAATTACTGCAAAAATTTGTGGAATTGTACTTTGCAATTATATTATTTAAATTATTACATTTTCTAATGACAATTACTTTTAAATACGTGTTTACAATATGCACGTGGTATAAAAACAATAAATTTCCTATTTGAATATATTTGAGGAAAGTGCTGTGCCGTGGAAAGAGCCTCAGTAAAGTAGTGAAGTTGTTGAACCCAAAATATTAACAGTAAGAAGTAAGAAGATGTAGATACCTTTAATTTTAAGACGTATTTTGTATTTATATTATTATAAACATAATTTATGTTACATAAACATTATAAACTAAGGATATTGCATGAAGCAATGTATACACAGCAGTTTTTATGGGGTTGATTAACTGCCCCAGACTAATGATACCCGATTTCTATGGTATTATTATAATATAAAAAATACTTAGGCTTAGGTACAAGAGCTTTGTATTTTTGTTCCCTATCAATAAACTTGTAAAAACTCACATTTTCTTATTTACTTCCTTGTCCCATTTTTTATACTAATTGTCAATTGTTATGGATTTTGTCTTTTCCCTTAAGTTAAGGAAACCTTAAACTGTATAGAAAACAATACGCTTGAAGCTGGTTGCATAAAGCTTACTTAAAGTTAAGCTCAGTTTTAGGCTATACATGTCAATTTCCGATACTATAGGTTTAGTCTAATGTTTGGGGAAACAAGTGCTAAATGCTGTTTAGATTGTACCTATGACATACACAATCGTCCTTATGATCATTCAGAAAGTCACTGCAAAGGGCTGTTACAGTTGAACCCGAGAATAATATATTTTCGTGTTGAACACTTTGAATTTCATGGATCCTCAATTCTATCATAATTTGTTTTATCCGCAGAGAAAAGTAACCATAAAAGTAATTGATAATTCCTTTGTTCATGTAATTGTAATTAAATCAATATAATTCCTATTTTTACAACATGTACTTTGTACTTGTAATTAATTCATCTTTTTAAAAAGTAATTGTAATTATTTTTAAAGTACATGTAAAATATAAAATAGTACATTGAGGTTATAGTAAAAATTCAATGGAACAAAAATTTTATAAATTTATTATTAAAAATGCTCATGAAATCGAGTACCAATATCACAAAAGTAGAGGTAGATCATAATAATATAGGTTTATCACAAAGTAACACAATTACACATGCGCGATATCATAAACTACCTACAAAACACTAAACAAATTAACAAAATTAGGTATAAAGGGTATATAAGGAATATCTGAAAGGTTTCCTAGATCTAAAGCACTAAATGATTGTACGAAAGAATATAATAAGGTACCTATATCACAAAGGTTCACTAGAAGCCAAAATGGTGAACGATTAAACAAAATAGAAAAAAATTAAAAAGTATATTTATATAAGGTATATTTCAAAGGTTCACTAGATTTTTATCACGATTGCAGGTGTACGAAGCTAAAAAAAAATATATTTACCTGCAACTGGTACTAATCATAGTTTTTATATAAATGTTAACTTAATTATACAGTTTTTCTGTGAAAAATAATTTTTTAGGTAATAAATTTACTTGTTCAACTATTATTAAAGAACATTATATGTACGTAGAAATTGAAAAATATGCTCGTTTAAATCATTGCACTTATTATTAGTTAATTTTTATTTATTTTGTTGTTTTAGGTAAATAAATAATGCATTGAAATATTTTTGAATTTTACAAATCTGATGCTTAATAATGATAATGGATTTCCAAGTTATACAGAACTTTTTATAAAAAATAATTTGTTTTTAT